AAGAGCGTCATGACTTAGTTACAACGTCACAGTTGTATAACCATCTTACTTCCTTTATAGACTGAGAATTTGGTATGATAAAAGATAATAAGACTGTTCTAATTGCTCAGTCATGTAAGGAATGGATCTATGCATGGTCTGACAGAGCAAGAGTCAAAGACCCTGCAGAGCAAAACATTTAAGTATTAGCAGCACTACTTGCTATTTATCTTTGGCTATTTATAATTGTGTATGTTCCATAATTTTCTACTGAGAAATAAAACATTTAACCTGATACATATTTTAAAAGGACGCAGAAATCTGAGGTTGATAATGGAATATTTACCATATGGAAGTTTACGTGACTATCTCCAGAAACACAAGGAGAGGCTGGATCATAAGAAACTTTTACTGTATACGTCTCAGATCTGCAAGGTAACAAAAGCCATGGATGCTATAAAACTTATTAATAACAGCATGTGTATTAACAGTGCTTCCCTCTTCAGAATTTTTGTTTGATTGGTGACACATGCCTGAGTCAGCAAATGTGTTCAGTTTTTTCACTCTTGATGCTAATTCACAACTTGTAAGTTAGGTTGAGCGGCTATACATCCTGTTTCTTAGGGTGACTTTTTAGCACCCTAGCTAATTCCCTCATTTCCTTTTAACTTGTTCTCATGTAAGCTGCTCAAATGTGCATTTTAATATTGGTTTTGAGCTTGTCTCTTAGCCTATATAAGTTAAGTTCATTGGGGTGGTAAAGCTCTGAGTAACAGCAGAGGGACTGAAGCTGATGTGTCTCTTGTCTCATCAGTTCTGCCTTCCTCCTGCTTAAAAGGATACCTTTGCAAAAGTTAATGACATTCACTGAGGTAGGCTTTCTTATCTTTGTAGATTTTTCAAAAGCTATAATGGCCCTATTACTATAATCCTATTAAGACCATCAAAGAATGTTTTTAATTTAAAAACTAGCTTTGAATTGGATGGCTTTGCAGAAAAAAATAGACACGCATCCTGTTTTCATATGAGCCAGGCACAGAAGCAAGAATGCCCACTAGAAGTACTCCAACCTGCACTGTATTTTCTGGTTATCTTGTTGTTTGGTACTGATATAAAGTTGGCTACAAAATGAGAAGTGAATACCCATCCAACCTTTGAGTAGCATATATCTGGTTACCTTGATAACAGTTTTATAGGTACCCTACCTTCACTGCATGATGAGTTCAGGATAGGAAAACTGACCATTTTTTAAGACATCACTGAATAACTAGTAACTTGAAAAATACAAAATATTTCATTAAACATTTAGAATATCTTTCTTTGTTGAAGCCTTTTTTTACCCAAAGTGTGAACATTAAATCTGTTCTTCTAAAAAATAAATCCTTGGAAGTGTACAGTATTTGGATATATGGGAATGTTCCAAACTCTGCATTCTGGTTCTTTTGTCATCAGTTTTGAGCTGTTGCTACTCTGCTACCTGTTGCATTTTGCGGGTTTGCTTAAGGTTACAACGATTAAGTTTTGCTTCTGTTCTCTCCCCTGCAGGGTTTTAGTACTCTGCATTTTTCCACCCAGAAAAACAGGAAATGTTGTGGAATCCTATTTTGCAAGAAAAGTCCAATGTTTTAGCCTATGTTAGTCCAAAGTGCCATTTTAAAAAGGAAAAGGCTCAAAGGACTATTTTAAGCCTGCTGTTTGTCAGCTTTTTGGCAGCCATTACTTTGTTTGACAGATGCACTCAACTCTGATTTATGATGACACTAAGGACTGACTGTCTGAGATATTTCAATCTACCAAAGCCAGGAAATAACAGATACTAATTTTTCTCCCCATCTTAACCCTACTGCCCTCCTTTCCCCCAGTTTTTCTCTTTGGTAATTTTAAATTTCCAACCATTTCTCTTTTGCTTCACACTTCTTTCATTGATTTTGTTTTTAATTTTCTTCCTCCATCAGGGACACGGGGACTTCTATTAGCCATCGCCCCTCTTCTGCTCTCTCTCTCCTGTCTGTATTTTAACACCTGTTTCTTTGCTCTCTTATCATCTTGTCTCTCCTTCCCTTTTCTCCTTGAAAATGGATCCTGGCCTGTATCTGACACATTGCAAGTGTCCTGCTGCGAAAATCAGCACTCCGAGACATATAGCTGCTTGCCAACCTGTGACAGGTGATGATGCTTCTTTAGGTGCCAGTTAGTGCAGCAGGGGTGCGCTTTGCAGTGAAGAGTTGCAGGAATCTGAATGCAGTTCTGAAGCACCAGCGGTCGAGGGACAGAGTGAGGGGTATATCTTCCCCCCTCTAGATCATTTTGGCAGGTTATTGGAGTGTGTCTGCCTTCTCCTGAACTCACATTAGAACCATTTGTCTACTATTATTATTATTGGTGGTAGTGATGGTGGTGGTGATTGTTGTTATTTCCTACCCTGTTCTTAAATTTCATTTAAATACTTCACAAGCCTTTTGTGTTGATTGACAGCCAAGGGTATTCAAAAACCAAAGCTGTCTTCTGGGCCCTTGGGGGCCCAGTCATGAGCACCTTAATGTTGAGGCAGCTGGAAATGTGAAGAGCTGGGTGGTAGCTAGGTAGTGGCAGTGCACAAGGCAGCACCAGCTGCCATGCTGTGATGGACATTATTTTTGCACTCCCGCCTGCCCCATTCCCCAAGTTGGTGCCCAGGACTGCTGCCCAGGCAGACCCCCTCAGTTATGCTATTGCTAAAAGGCACACTTTTCTTTCCCTTCTTTGAGTGTCTAGCCAGTTCTCTCTGGTATACACAGCAGCTATTAACTGTTCATTAGGGCCAAAAAGAATAAGCACCTGAGGTTCATCTCAGTAGCAAGAAGCTTGAGGGAGGGATGGGCAGATGTACCCACACACAGGATTTTTATATAAAACAAGTCTGTCAACTTCATAACTCAGGGGATTCTCTTCATAGCTTAAATCTGTGCTTGCTGGTGCAACAGCGGAGGGTGGAGTGACAAGTTTTTTGCCAAAATGCTGCCTATGTTGGGGCAGAAGCCACAAAAATCTCATTTTGCTAACAGCCTCCTAGTCAGAAAAGAGGCTAAAATCTAGTCATGGTAGGCAGAGTTGTTATTCATGGATGGTATCTTGTTCCTAGTTGGTTGCTTAGTTTTGATTTTTTTATATGTTTCAATTCTTCTAGTTTAAAAGTATATTTCATCAAAACCACATAGTCATTGGAATTTTCAAAATAGTTTTCCTAGTTTCTTTCTATTCCTCCCCTCATCACATTTTAATAAATGTTTATAATGCTGGGTCCTGGCCCCTGCAACATTTTTTTAGTCATTTGAAGAAGACTGAAAGGTATTTAGTGAGAAAGTTTGACTTCATTTGACAGAGCAGCGCCTTGGAGTCTACATCTAAATACTGCTTTCCATTTAGGATCAATGCTTCCAGCAGTCTTTTTTGTGGCATCTGTAAACCCTCAAGCCTACAAAAACATATGCTATACAACTCTGATTTAGTATGTCTACACAGGTGCAAATCTACCCTGCCTTCATCAGTGGGCAGATATGTACTATATGAAGTTATGTGCAAATAGCTAAGCAGGTCTATAAAACCCTCTGAGACTAATGTTGTTCAAAGTCGGCATGTTTCCTACAATATAAACCATGGCATTGTTTTCAGCGGAAGGTTTAGCAAGAAAGAAGGGGCAGCATTTCCATTTATAATATCTGAAACATTGGGAAATAGCAGTAAGTAACGCCCTGGTCCTGACTGAACATTCAGGAGAGCTGTGGAAGAAGTCCAGATCTAAGAGATGTTAAACCTCATACTCTCCAGAGGTAGCTGGAGAGCTGGTAGTTGCGACGGAAACTGCGTCATGGATTTTAGGGCAGAAGTGCCAACTAGGCAATTGTCAAGATGCGTTCCACAGAGCAGACAGGAAAGCTGAGCGTGATTGGGAATCAGGCCAGCCGCAGGGTAAGGTACTATATAGCAAGCACAATGTTGCCATCTAGTGGGTAGAAAGAAAATAAAGAAAAATCTGTTAAAAAGGGGAAAGCCAAGGCAAAACCTGAGGCTCTGTTGTTGCTGAGGTTTCTCAGCTTGAAAATAGTCTTTGTAGAGGTTTAAGACCAATGCCAGAAAATTTGGTCAGTGGTAGACATTTTCTAAATACATTTTTGGTTTTCACATGCCTTGGAGGAAAGAGGTTTTGATGTAGTCATGGGCCTTATGGTCTACTTCATGTTTCTTCACTGTTACACTTGAGGAAGAACCCCTCAGGTGAATCATGTGTATCCCCTCTGCCCAAACTAGATTTTCTCCTAGCTTTCTGATTTAGTTCCCTATTGCCACCTCATAGTACATAAGTGGTGAAAAATGCAGCCAGTGTAACCAATGTTCTTGTTCCTGTAAGATCTGATATCTAAGGGTCAGCAACAGCATAAAAAAAGACTTGGACACTAGTGTTTGCCCCATAGGTTGACCTCAGTTCAGAGTATGTGAGAGTGTGTAGGTTTTGTTGATCGGTGCCACTGGCTGGGGTGGCATGGATGCTAAGGTGCACAGTTAACAGCCCAGAGGTCACAAGTTGGAGGCCATAGCAGAAGCAATCTCAGCACAGCCTGTCAGATTCCAACCATCCTTGAACAAGATTAGCAGTCTGGAGAGACCAAAGAGTCTAGGCCTATTCAGTTTAGAAAAGAGATGCTTGAGGGGGCCATGATAAGGGTCTACAAAATACTAAATGATGAAGGAAAAGTAAATAGGGATTTATTATTTTACTCTCTCTTACAATACAAGAACTAGGGTCACAAAATGGAACTAGTAGGTAGTATATTTGAAGTTAACAAAAGCCAGTTCTTTTTCACATGGAACATAATTGAAGTGTGGAACTCACTGCCACCAGATGTTGTGGAAGCTGACAGTTTAGCTAGATTCAAAAAAGGTTCGGACGCATTCTTGGAGGAAAGGGGCATCAGTAGCTATTGAGCATGGGAGTTAGGAATACAACCTGTAAATCAGAGGGCTCCTACAGATGTGTGAGGAGCCTTCAACACACCGGAAATCCAGTGCATCAGAGCAGGCTCGGTTAATTGAGTCTACTGGAGCACGGAAATTGATGCACTCTGGCAGCCTTCCGTGTTATGTGCATCTGTGTCTCCCATGCTGCATATGACGCTGAAAAAATGGTGGCAGGGCATTTTGAAATAAAACATGCTTGATGAGTTTTAGTTTAAAGCACCCCACTGCCATTTTTTCAACATGGGGACACACTGACACTGATACACATGACATGTGGGTGCTTTTAATTAGAACGACTTGCTAATTAAAGTGCCCAGGGCTGCATCCCAGAGCACATGTAAAAATGCCCAGAACTTCCTAGACCTTAAATGCTGGAGGCTGCAAGTCAAAGGAACAGCGAGGAAAAAACCCTGGCCATACCCCCTCTCACTTTCTCTTTCAGCATCCCTTCTCTGCCCCTGTGTGACTGGGCAAGATGGACCTATGGTCTGACCCAGTAAATGAAAGTCCTTATGTTCTTATGTTGTAGGGCTCAAAAAGGATGACATAGTTTGACAGAGCAACCTAAGGGGAGAAGGGAAGAGCAGAGCTAAGACTGAAGTTGCTAGCCATTAAGATTGGTATTCAAGTGGTTGGTGAGGTGGTTACATTTTAGTTGCTTTCTGGGAAACTTAACCTCGCTTTTGTCCTTCTGCTAATGGCTTGAGGGCTACAAACATTGGCTGCTTACAGACATTAAGAAAAACCAAAAAACGGTACTTCAGTTTGACCCAGCTTGCCTAACATCTGAATAGATCAGGTGCTTCAGCAGGGCTTTTTTGGCACTTTTATCTAATAGCTGATTGAATCAGCTTTAGATAAAAATGTCAAAATGCCCCACTGAAGCGCGTGATTTATACAGACACTGCAAAGCCGGGTTGAACTAGCGCACTACGTCTTCCAGTAGAGCACTGTTTTGTTTTGTTTTTTTTCCATGTCTGTTAGCAGCCATCGTGTATTTGGCCATAGTGAGGGAGATAAAATAGGGTAGCTACATCTTTTAATAAAAGAGAAGTAAATTTTCTGATCTGTAAGAGGAATTTATTCCAGCTGAGGAAGGTCCGCTGCACTTGGAAACATTAAGAAACCCTATCCAAGGGAGATGGCAAGTTTTCTATGTGAACATTTGTACTTTCTGTATTTAGGTTACTCTTTTTCTGAGCTGAATTTAGTGCTATAAAAAAAAAAACTTGGTTTGGCATCAAAATTGTAGCCACTTGTTCTAGTGAAAAATTTGGTCCCTTATTGCTCTTTGATTTTTCAGCTTAATTATTTTAATATGCATTTCTGATCTCTACTCTTAGGGCATGGAGTATCTGGGCACAAAAAGGTATGTTCACCGAGATCTGGCAACAAGAAATATCTTAGTGGAGAATGAGAACAGAGTTAAAATTGGAGACTTTGGATTGACAAAAGTCTTGCCACAAGACAAAGAATACTACAAAGTAAAAGAGCCTGGGGAAAGCCCTATATTTTGGTAAGTTTCCATTTGCTGCATGAAACCAGGGCAGATGTTTGCAACTGTACTGAGAGACAGATAAGTTTGCATATTGTGGGATCTCTAAAACCTAAAGACCATTCCTTGGATTCAAAACATAGCCCTGGTTGTAAGTACAAGATTTCAGTTACAGTGGGTCTATACATGCGCTGGACTGTGCACTTGTTACTGCACAGTCATTTACTACTTACTTAAGCAAGTACTAAATGACTGCACAGTAATTGGCATTACTGCACAGTCCCAACGCCACATGAGTTTTTTCCTGTGCTACTATGCAGTAACATTGGTGTCACAGTTCATGCCTGCTGACACTGTCGTTGTAGTAATGAGCTACAGTGACGTAGCGTCTCATGTAGATGCGCCCAGTATAGAATAGTTACTGTATGTAAATGTAGGTATTTTAAGCAGGGGGCTTGTTCAGATGAGGGGTCAGCTGTTCATGGCATATCCAAATTAGGTCCAAGTCATAGACGAAGTAGGTCCAGAGTCCTCAGGATGACACTTTGTGCACCAAACATTTAAAGAAGTAGTAATATAGATGCAGTGTCCCCTTTTAACTGGGGAAGAGAAAAGTATTGAAGGCTGGGTATAGTCTGCTATACAATTCCCTCTGTGTTATATAGGAAGCTGCTTGGTACTGTGGTACTATGGAGATGGGGACAGTAGGGAATCCTAAGACAGAGAAATGTTTGTGCAAAAGAAACATACTTACCCTTTTGAGCAGTGGACCTGCTGTTTGTGTGAGTGATACTTGTCAGCTCTTAGCACTTTAAATTGTTACTGTCTTAAAAAAAAAATAAATAAAGAAGAAAAATTTAAAATATAGTGGACAGCATGCATAGAAATTAGATCCTTACAACAGGAATATTTAGATGGCACCAGAGGTGCATTAGGCATTGAAGCAACTAGAAAGACCCTCTGACTTCAATGGAATTTGACTTGGGCTTTTTGTATACGACATGGTGTTTCTTTGTTTGTGTTTCCATTCCATCATGCTACATATTAGAAGAATACCTGGAATGTAAGTGAGACAGTTGATAAGCATTTCTGAGTACAGCTTTATAGAAACAGAAATAATAAGAAAAAAATTCATAACTTTCAATGATGAAATAAAAAGGTATTAATGTCCATAAGCATGCAGTAAAGAAACTCTGTTTATGAAAAATGTCCTAGGTGTATCAAATTAAGACTTCTTATTTCTACATAAGAACTGCCATTTACTGGGTCAGACCATAGGTCTATCTTGCTAAGTATCCTGTGTTACACAGGGGCAGAAAATGGATGCTGAAAGGGAGGGAAGGGGTACAGATTTAATGCTGAATAATGTCCCATGTTTCCTTTATTAACTGGACCAACTTTTCCTATGTGAAACAGGTATGCTCCTGAATCATTGACAGAAAGCAAGTTTTCTGTGGCATCAGATGTATGGAGCTTTGGTGTGGTCCTGTATGAACTCTTCACATATATTGAAAAGAGCAAAAGTCCTCCAGCGGTCAGTGCATAGTTATGGTTTTTATGGATTTCCTATTTTAAGTTTAGATTTAACTAAAGATTTTAATTGTATGTAATCTGTAGTTGTTATATTGCCTTTTTAATGCTTACAAATGGGTTTTCATGATGCAGCATCCAGCTCTAGACAGAAACGTAGTAAAAAAATAGTACTACCAAATCATAAAATATTGATCAGATATAGGGAATTGTCAGATATGCTGTGATTCATAACTGTGCTAGAATTCATAACTGTGTCTGAAGCATTTTTAAAACATGCTTATGCCTGATTTTTCCTCTCAACCTGCACATGAAAAATCTTGAGTGTTACAAATGCATCCTAACATTATAGCAGGGGTGTAGGTTGTAGCCATGTTGGTCTAAGGACATAGGGAGACAAGGTTCCTTGGGTGAATTTGATATCTTTTATTAGACCAACCCAAATAGTTGGAGAATAGTTGTTAAGCAAGCTTTCGAGTTCAAAAACCCTTCGTCAGGCTCAGGAAGTTTCAGCAGTTGGTGTGCGCTCTTCATGGATGGAATGAAAAGTAAACAAGCCAGGGGCTGGGCTGGGCTTGGCTGGGCTGGGGAGTCAGTTGCCAGGCAGATTATAATGTATAAAAATCCAATGTCTATGTTTAGTCCACGATCTCTAGTATCCAGGAGGTTGATGAAATGGAGCTCATGGGCTCGTCTCTGGGATATGTTGTGTAAGTTTCCCTTGAGGATCAGGACTGAAAGATTGGAGAGAGAGTGGCCCTCCTGTGAGAAATGTGCCCCCACTGGTAATTGGGTATTTCTGTCTTTGATAGATTTCTGGTGTGCGTTCATTCTGGTGCGCAGTTGTTGTTTGGTCTCCTACATATTTTCCATATCAGGGCATTTGGTGCATTGGATGAGGTATATTACATTTCTGGAGGTGCAGCTGTAAGATCCAGGGATGCTGATGGCTCTGTTGTGGGGTGTAGTAAT